ACCAAAGGGTTAAGTAAGACTCCATATCATGAATTTGGGTATGACCAGGAAATGGTGTAGGGATGATAAATCTATAACCAGTCACCAATCTCCCATCTTTTTGGGTATGACGAACAAACGGGAGTAAAACTGAGAAGATTCCCCAAGTTCTATAACCTCTTTCTGAAGTAAGTCCTGTACCACCTCCTGCAGATGCTGGGGGGAAACAGGATCCCATGGTGGGAGGAAGGCAACAATTGAGGAGATAACGAAGGGAGGGGAATGGAAGTGAAGGGCCAGACCCTCTGAAAGAACCTGAAGAACACATGGTTCTGTTGTAAATGGTGTCCACATATGGAAAAAATGGAAAAATCTGGTCCCCACTAGCCCTGAGAAACCAGGACAAGCAAATGGTTGGAAGGGGGGAGATGCAGAATCAGTAGAAGGAGGTTGTGATAAACAAGAAGCTAAAGAGGGTAATGAATTATGCTAAATATTGACCCATAGATTAATCACCAAAGAGGGCAGGTTGAGAAACATAGGAAACAGGATATAAGGATAAGACAGCACAAACCTAATTAATTCCATAAAGGGTGAAAGAGGTCTGGGTACATCCCCCGATATCACTTGTGACTGGAAAGCATAATCGGGAGGGGGCGGATATATAGGCTGTCCAAATTCTCGTCCTGTCAGACCCCCCCCCCAGAAGCAGGCACGACAGGATATTTCATATGTGGTGGTGAAGGTTGCATGTACATGGACATTCTCATCGAATAATTGCCATTATGCCCTTGCCCAAAAATTAAGTACTCAACCCGGTAGTATTAGGCAGGAAACCTGAAGTAGCAGTAACAGCAGTGTTAGTTGTAATTACCTGAAACTGCAAGTGTATAGTGACAATTCCAAACGTGAAGCAAAAAAAAAAGAAAAGGAAGAAAAGTTAGGAAAAGCAACCTTTCACAAGTCTGTAGTATAAAGAAAAACGTTGATAAATGTGCAAGCAAAAAGAAACACATCTGTTCAATACTACTGCCAATTGAGAAGTGATTAATGAGTGTAAATGTGGAAAGGCCATCATTATGATAGGGGTTGTGTCACGCTCCTATTGGTGGAGAGCTGCTGCATAATAATTTTCATGTGAATATGCAGAAGAGGGAGGTGGAAGGCTAGTGGTGATCAGTAAAAATTTACACCAGTAGAGGGCAGTACTAACTGAGATAGCTATTTTGTGAGTGAAGGTAAGATATCGTATCGGAAGTTTCACTTCACAACAGTATTTCATTTTAGCACACTCATTGAACTTTTATTTCTTTAACACATTACCCACAGTGGACTGAAATATGTCATCCTCTCTCACCAACATTGCTTCATCCAATAACCATTTCTCTATGACAACCTGTGAACTTCTTTCCTCATGACATCTTGAATCCAACTAGCTCAAACAACAAAGCATCGTGGGACTTACATGTAAATTAGTATAGCTAGGGAGTGTTGGTAATAGCAACAAATTTACAGAAAAATCACAATGCACAGGGATCAAAATATTACATTCACGTATTCCCAATAAATTTAAATTTGCTTGAGGAATCTCTTTTTTTTTAGTTGGCTTTCTCAATCAGCAATGCATAGTTCATCTGTATTCCTTTATTTATGACCGATGAAAGTAAACACATTGCATGGATTAAATAAAAAAACAAATCATGAGGAAATGCACCTTTTACATGAGGGAATGTATTCTTCATGATAGCTTTCCCTTGAGTGAATGTAATTATATTCCATTACTTCTATCCCTGCAATGCAGTTTGCAAGCAAGTACTAAATCAATTGTTTTTAGGAAGAAATTAGCTTGTTTCAATTTGCTCACAAGAAAATGAAAGCTCCAACAAAGGAGTTAGAAACTCAGGAAGTATAAATACTTTAAGAAAAGTTCATCAAAGATGTTCATTTCTCAGAAATTCCTATCAAACGGCACATACAGTATTTTCTCACTTTGTCATGTGCGTAACACATGCACTTTGTAGTAATCTGTTCATGACGTTTTGGAATGTGCCTGCACATTTAGAATTGAGTTTAGAATTTACTCAATACAGGCTCAATCCCAAGGAACGACTACATAACCATTTTTACTTATATATAGTTTCAGAACTATAACTTTTAATACAGTATGTGTATTTTCACAAAATTTGGCAGACTTTTAGTAAAATACTAGACCATCCGTGACCCGTTGGGTCACCCACTATTCAGAGGTTATGAAGAAATCAAGCTAATTTCAATATTGCACCGAAATAAGGGTTTGTTTTGAGATAATTTAATTAAATATTTCAATCCATTCGTGTTATTCATAATTCAAAAAGAAATATTTGATTGTTGATCGGGAGTAAAAGGGAGT